AACGTGACTCCTTGCTTGTTTCCCGACTAGTTGTCTCCCCCGTAGGTAGCTTGCGACGTGATTGCTTGGATTGTTTTCTTTCTTGTTTCCCCACCAGATGGTTGTCGTGCCATGTGATTTTGTGACATGATGTCATGATATCTTGCTAGTTTTGTGTCTTCTTCCCTTTTGTCCCCACCCGACGTGGAACTCGCTAGTTAAGTCTCCCTCCGTATTTTCACAGATGTCTCCAGACATCCGGTGGCTGTCTACTTGTCTCCCCCCGGTCACACGCTTGGCAGCAGTTTGATTTGACTCAGCACAAACTATTTTGGCATGAGATCTCACAAGTGAGGCTCTGTCTCATTTGTTCAACTTGCACAGACGAAAAAAACATAGTGTGTGCCTTAACCTTCTTCTACATCCTGAACAAAAAGGTAAGTGAACTTGTCCAATTGCAATATGTTTCTATGATCGTGCTCTTGGAGTTGTCACAGAGTTGCGATGTAGCGAGAGGCACAATAACCTATGACCGACGATTCTACCAATTAGTCTCAATTAGTCTCACAATGAAGTCTTATTGATTTAGATATACTGCAACATCTCGAAAAAGTATTGAAGGATTCCCACGCCTCGCTCGGCTGCGAGACTCTTGCTCCAGACTCTTTCGGGACATGTTGTTCTATAGTGGTTTTCCTGTAGCCAGCTCCACAGCTTTTGCCAATTGGCAAAAGGTATGGTAACGCGCAAACCCATAAAGGACATTGGTTCCAAAAGAGCTTTCGTACATGTGAAACAACGTTTTTCCGTTTCAGACTCAGACAGCACTTCAGACTGGTGTTGAAAAATTGTGACACGGTTTCAGTCGTGAAATGTTTCAGGCTGTTTTAGACTCATGTGACTGAGGCCTTGGGAACAGTGGTCCCACTGTGGCTACAATGGGCAGATGTCTCGCAAGCGCAGAATAGTTCAGCTGCCATCGGTGTCATTCTGAGCTTGCGGTGTTGCCAGCAAAGCAAGTTTGAACATTCTTAAATTGTCTCAAGGTCCAAACTTACCTTGATTGCTTTCTTTGCTCCATCACACCGGAGCCATTTGCATCCACTGTGAGGTCTTCGGAGAGGCATGCGAAGGAGCACTTCATGAAACAGCATGGCCTCACTCTCAGAACCCGGCAATCTCCAAGTGCTGAGGCTGCAGAACTGTTCTTTTTTTCATTAAACAAACAACAACACTTGGAAGGTGCGATAGTGAGCGTGTTGACTGCGATGTGTCCCCATGGTCCGAATGGGCCAGCTCGGCATGAGATTGGGGAAGGTTGATTTCAGACTGAGATTTGTTGCTTTTACAAAGCAAGGTCACCAGATTCCGGTAACACGTAATGTGCACAGTACGCAAACAGCTTGATTCATGCGCTAAAGAGTCACGAATACAACCAACTAATCTTGTCTATGCAACACATGTACGCGCACTCTTTATGCAAAAAGCCGGCAGAATTGTTCTAGTTAGAATCAGGGACGAGAAGAAGACTCTGTTTAGCGTCCAAGCAGGTACGTTTTCAGGCGTCCCTGATGATATCCTATATATCCTCATACGTTCTCTCAGATCCCTGTTCTAAGAAGTGAAGGTTCACAGTCAAGAGGCACACACAGACTGGGAAAGTTATTTGGTGGTGGAACGGTGGAAAGGTGTCAAAGCCCAGAACCTCCTGAGTCCACGGCCTTTGAACAATTGCGTATGCGAGCGACACCGTCGGGAACGACAAAGACAGGACAAGCCTCATATACCTGCAACAGCCTGGAAAAAAGGAGGGCCACAGCTTGAGAAAACTCAACGATATCATTCTGCAGGCGCGCAGTTGGACGTCTCCAACTGTATCACAGGTAACTGATGAGCGTCTGTGTTAGCGCTGGTCTCATTAGCACCTCCGGTGCCCCCTGCTACTCCATTGAGTTGGCTTGCGTTGTCAAGTACAATCACTTTGCCGCTTGTGATAGCGGGATACACACACACACAAGGCCCTCCCAATGGAGGGCTTAAAGCTTTCAAGCAAAGCAACATTGTGAAGCCTAGAAAGAGGGGAGTCCTCGTACCCAACCAGGTAGCTTAGACATCATAGACACAAAGCCGCGAAGGTCAGAGTAAGTCGGAGAGCTGAGAAAAATGTTCAAAGTCAAGTCGACCTGCAATCAATTGGCAGTACGGCAACACAGTGAAGCCTAGCAACAGGGGAGTCCTCGTATCCAACCATATTTTCGACAGCGTATTCAAGTACCAAATGGTTCATAAAATATTCAAGTCCTGCTTCATTACTTAACATTTGACTTAGTTGTATTACTTTATTTTTGGAAATAATCTGCCTCCAGTCGACTGCATTGTTGTGTATGCGTATGTTACGTTTTTTCAGATGGTTTTGACAGCATAGAATGGGTTCCTTGCGCCCATCGCGTCAAAAACACTAGCCGCGAAGGTCTGAATAGACCCCAGGCGCGAGAATAACTTAAGGTCCGGACGACCTGACGTCAATTAAGTGCCAAGCGTTTCTAAGCGGTATAGGTATCCAAAAAAAATTATCAAATCACTAAAAAAATATTTACCGAACCCAAAAATAAACATCTACTGAAGCAATAAAAAAATTTTCGTTGTGCGATGAAATCCCTTGGAATTCCCAGTCGTGTAGGTGGCCGGTCCTTTGGTCCGCTGATCCCTTGTTCCTCTGGTCCTCTGGTCCGCTGGTCATCTGGTCCTGGTCCGCTGGTCCCCTGCAGTCCGCTGGCCCACTGGTCCGCTAGTCCCTTGGTCCTCTGGTCCTTCGTCTTTCTTTCTTTCTTTCTTGTTCGCAGCTGTTCTCCTTTCTTTTTTTGCTTTTGCTTTTCCTTTTGTTCGCTTTGCAGAGACGAAGCAAGCAAGCAAGCAAGCAAGCAAGCAAGCGCGAGCTGCTCACCTTTGGATCTGGTGTGCTGCTGGGGGGGGCGCTGCGCCCGCCCCCAACACCCCCGCGCCACGAAATCTGCACTTCATCCCCGACACCCGTGCCTGCCACGAAATCAATATTTTAAGGTGAACTCCCCGGTGCAAAATTTTCTAACCAAGCAAATCGGCCTCCTCTATCTCTCTATCTATCTGTCTATTTATCTATCTATCTATCTATGTATCTATCGATCCATGTATCTTTCTATCTTTCTATCTGTCTACCTGCAGTTCAACATCCACAAAGTATTACACCTGCCACGAAATCTGCACTTCAAGGTCCACAAAGTCTTGCGCCTGCCACCAAATCTGCACTCCAAGGCCCACAAAGTCCTGCGCCTGCCACCAACTCTACACTTCCACATCAAAAAGTCACGCGCCTGCCACGGAATCTGCGCTCCAGGGCCCACAAAGTCCTGCGCCGGCCACCAACTCTGCACTTCCACATTCACAAAGTCCTGCACCTGCCACGAAATCTGCACTTCAAGGTCCACAAAGTCCTGCGCCTGCCACGAAATCTGCGCTCCAAGGGCCACAAAGTCCTGCGCCTGCCACGAAATTTGCACTTCAAGGTCCACAAAGTCCTGCGCCTGCCACGAAATCTGCACTCCAAGGGCCACAAAGTACTACACCTGCCACGAAATCTGCACTTCAAGGTCCACAAAGTCCTGCGCCTGCCACGAAACACTACGACTACCACTACGATACTGCTGCTATTATAGTACTGTTGCTACTCTTGCTGCTGCTGCTATTTGGAATATTTTTTTGAGTCAGTATTTATTTTTTATTGATGCGTGTAGAATATTTTAATTGATATGTTAAATATTTTTTTGATCTCTCACCCAAGTCAGGATCCAGGTGGCCCCCCAAGGGGTTGAATTTTAACCCAGAGAAGTTAGGAGCAAGAGGTGTCCTCGTACCCAATGGGCAAGATGCGAGCAGACTGCAACGATCCGAACGACCGCAACACACATCGTGACTGTGCTTATTGAACACAAAAAGTGAAGCCAAAAGGCTTAAAGGAAGAAAGGAGGTTTCCTCGTACCAAACATGTGCAACGGTTTGCGTCCGGTGACTTTAGGCATCCTGCAAGCGTTGTGCAAAAACGGGCCTTGTTTGCTATGAAATCGGCTTGGCCCGCCAGTTTTTTGCAGTTGTTTCATAAACCTTTGTGCGCGTGGCACATATGATGCTGCATATACTTGAGGCTATGCTGAACTTACGTGCGCGCATGCGCTGCATGGTGCGAAACATTGTGCTGAAGCCTTGAACAGCCAATCTTCCAAATGTGCAGATATCCATGGCAGGATGACTGTGACAAGTCTTGCGATGGTGGACAATCCCATCGCCACAGAGAGGCGCGTGTTTGTTGTTGTTGTTGTTGTTGTTGTTGTTGTTGTTGTTGTTGTTGTT